TAAAAGAGGATCAGTAGTATTTTAAAAATATTTTATTTAAAAAATTATTTCTTTAAAAATAAATTATTCTCTACTGCAGATTAGTAATTTATTTTAATTAATAAATATAATCTTCTAGCTGTTGAATCTCTTCAACAGTGGAGATAGTATTTAATGATAGTTTTAGATTAATTTAATTACTAGATATTTTTATTTTTTTATTATTTTTAATAGGTGGTATCTTCCTTAGGTAGTTAAAGTAGAAGAATCAGAATATAATAAAATTTATTTATCAGAATAGAAAGTCTGTTGACTAGGTAAGAAATTAACTACTAAATATTATATATTTATCTGATAATAATAAAGATAGTTTATATTTATAAAATAAACTGATTCTTGAGGAATTAATAGCTTATTACAGAGGAATTAGTATCTTATAGATGCTAGAAAGGTATAGAACCATTATTAATAATCTCATGACTCTCATAACCACTATAATACGTCATCCCGATGACTTTTATCCCGATAGCTAGGTTATTCTATCACAATATATAAATAAATAAAAGCTCTTGTTTATAGTCTTAGATAATTTTTTTATTATATATTTTAAGTAGATACTTTATAGTTATATTATCCTGGAGTTAATACTTATTAAAATTATTTATTTATCAGACGAGGTCTTGCTCTGTATAGATTTATTAAAATATTTATAAAAAGACAGTATATTCTTCAGTCTGTATAATATATAAAATCTTTGTATTAGAAAAATACTTCTTAAAGAACAACCCCTTGATCCGGCTGTATAAAAAAGAATTAATAATAATTATATAATTATATTTACTAATATCTTAATTACTTAACCTGGTCTTGATTATACACTCGCTGACTTGTATATGGTATTATACCTTAATAATAGAGGCAATATGAGCTGTAGAATAGTTCTCATGGAACAGACTAATAATGTCAGCCTTGTACGGCTCAAGATTAATGGCTGGACGTACTATGATCAACACCATGATGAACAAATAAAGCACTGTACGTAGAGTAATGATAAACATCATCTAGCGGTGAGGCCAGCGGTGAGCGTACTTCAACACTAAAAATCGTTTTTGCCCGATGGCCGCTATTAACCGCCGTAGGTCTCGGACTCTAGTCGCAGGGTGTTCTGCTCAAGCGCCAGTGCATACCTCTGGAGGGCAGTGAATCAGGGATCCTTGCCTGCTTGCTGGCCCCAGCGAGCCACCACCACCCGGTCGCCAGGTTGCACCGAATTTATCCCGGGCCCTGTAGAGACTACCGTTCCCGCAAAGATGAATCCGAGGATAAAGAGATATTAAGATTAGAATAAATCCAACCTGGATTCTTAGTTTAACGGCTGAGTGGTAGGTACTTGGGCATGATACCTCTGGATTTTAGTATTAATGGAGTTAAAACTAGCTGCTTTAACCCGTACCAAGAGTTCCCTACAGCCAGGAACCCATTACTCTACAGTCTCGACCTGAATAGTCCCCCGGGGTTTTTTGATCCAGCCTACTTTATTCGACATATTTTCATGAAGTCATATTGAAGAAGATCAAAACTTGCCAGAGGATAAGGTGTTGGTTAAGAATCTGGTAATCCCCTGACTCGTGACGTGAACCACAGATGGAAGCGACTGCCGATCCAATTGCCGGCCGAATGGTTGCATGACTCAACTGATGTAGATCACGTGACTAGCAGTTCTCATGGATTTGACATCTGAACGTTGGAATTTCCTCTAAGGGATACTAAACATGTGGTTCTGGTATTTGTTGAGTAGCATTGGTGTGGATGATGCATTGTTGTGAATATCTGGAAGTCTCGCGTCTGAAAAGGATGAGCTTGACATCTACTCCTATCATTCACATATAATCGTCCACCGGAGTTGCTACTCGTTTAGTATGTGGACCACTACAGTAGTAAGGACATGATAGTAAAGATGCCCCAATGCCATCCTACCATCAAATGCAAGTAGCGAAGCTGCGGTGAAACCAACTTCCTTATGTATTTCTGATCTCAACTGAATTTCAAAGGCAATATCATGATTCTCAGGACACCCCTTAAAATGTATCGTTCGGTTGGCAACAACAGCAAGAAAATGGATTGACAGAGATACTCGAAGTCAGGGGAGTTCCGGATTACGTACACCATCTTGTTCTCTGTATTGATCCAATACGTAAGAAGTACAAGCCCGGAGTCCTTGCCTATTGCTGCATTATAGGGCTTCTATCTTCGAGTTTGGAGACTCAATCACGAGTTTCATCCTCGTTATCTTTTTCCCGCCCGCCCCCCAATCCCCTAGAACAAGGATAGACATGAGATATTCTTGACTGGTAACAACAGCAATAGTTGGTGCAATCTTTCTTCCAGAAGCCTCCCGCAAGACGCAAAGATGCAATAGATACACTTAGAATACAACGCTAGGCGATGACCTGATACTAGAAAAAGCAGAGCAGTGGCTGGATGAGGCTTTCGTATAATGTTCCTGCTGCGCTGTTCTTTTGTCATTCCATTGCGCTTTACCTCGTGAATGCTATCAATCCGGGGCTGCCCTTGTGCTATAATTATATTACGACGTTTGATAGTGTTGCTAGACATGGCGAGTGGTCTGATCCATATACCATTGCGCTTAGGACTCCTGCCGATTGCTGGTCATGTTAGAGCCAGTGAGATAAATGGAGACTAAATAAGCGTAACGATGGCCTCTCCACTGGATAGAGTTTCCAGAGCCACCATGACAGGCCTTGCACATATGATCAGGGACGGCTACGAAAACGGGGTCCATATACTACATCGGCAAGTTTGTCTGTTGATTTGGCTCGCTTACCTGCTCTTCCCCGCCTATCTCCACTTGGTTCGTCATCGCCCGCCCATAGCGCTGTCCCTTAATCAATTTGACGCGCAGCCCTCACATTTAGGGTGCGATCGTCACTACCAAGCGCTTCGGCCCCCTGATTGTATGTCTACTTATGTACTACTTGCTCTCCCGAATGCTCCCATCACTCAATCCTGAATTTCGTTCTGAGGATATAGAGACCACGATCACTTGCCATAATAGTCTGTTGATGGTCAGAGGTCATCATGCGAGCAAGCATTTTACCATATACCTTGTTCTTAGCCACTCTGGCACGGGCGCAACTATCTGGTCCCGTTGGTCCTCTAGTTGACTACAGCACTAAAGCCAAGAATCAGACCTGCAACATCATCGACTACGGAGCCCTCGCAGATGGTAAGACGGATATCTCGCAGCCCCTTCTCGATGCCTGGGGAAATTGCTCAGTGGGGGGACTGGTCTACATCCCACCTGGTAACTACTCGCTGGCCGAGGATATCGAGCTCAAGCACGGCCAGTCCTCTGCAATTCAGCTAGACGGTGTGATTATGCGCGGACACCGCGGATCGTATCAGATGATTTTGATCCGTGACTGCAACGACTTCGAATTCTTCAGCGGCAACTCCCGCGGGGCCATTCAGGGCTTTGGGTACGAATATTTGCAAAATGACACCTACGGCGAGAGACTGCTGCGCATCCAAGAGGTTAGCAATTTTTCGGTGCATGGATTTGCACTTGTTGACTCGCCCTCTTACTATATCGTCCTTGATACCGTCTCTAGTGGAGAGGTATATAACATCTTGATCCGCGGCGTGACATCAGTGGGGGCGACAGATGCCATCGACGTATGGGGAGAGAACATGTGGTTCCATGATATTGAAGTGAGCAACGGCGATGAATGTGTCACTGTCAAGTCTCCGGCGCACAACTATCTGATCGAGAATATCTACTGCAATCTAAGTGGTGGGACCGCCATTGGCTCCTTAGGCACAGGCACCAATATATCTGACATTCACTACCGCAATCTCTATATGAACCGAGCAGATGCCTGCTTCCTGAAGAGCAATAATGGGGATGGGATTATCAAAAATATCATCTGGGAGAATGTCATAGTTCACGGCGGTCCGTACCCGCTAGCTATAGACGAGGCCTGGGGGGACGACCGAGGCTCTGGAGGAGTTCAAGTGTCCAACCTTACATTCCGAGTAAGTACACGCCAATATAGATGTCTGAGGATATCCTAATTTGTTTGATTATATAGAACTGGCACGGAGAATCCGCTAGCGCCTCACGCCCAGTGATCCGTCTACAGTGTGACTCTGACGTCCCGTGCTACGATATTACCATCGAGAATGTGAACCTCTGGGCCAACGACAGCAGTGATGTGGTCTGGCTGTGTGAAAATGCCTATGGAGATGGGGCCTGTCTCTCTAGTGGAAAGGGAACAACGGATTTAAAGACCTTTACCAGCAAACAGACTATAACTGCCACCCCGTACGTGACTATGTCGTAGTTCATTCCAACCCATAATTACTAACAACATGAAAGGTCCTATGCTGCCCCAACAATGGCAGCTGACTTTACCGCTGATCTGCCATCAACGCGCCCGTTCACTATTCCTCCCATGCCGACGAGTTTCTACCCGGGTGCTACTCCCATCTCAACACTTCTACATCTCCATGGTGCGGGTGGTCTCCCGTCAGCATCTCCCGTTTCGCATCATCGACGACGGCATTGACTAGGTTATGCTACAGTGGATAATTCGCTTACAGCATATTGGAAGTACATTCATATACAAGGCTCATTCGATATGTTGGGTTAGCGCAGCGGTTATGCAGTGTTCCCGAACCTCAGCGTACACAGAGCATATATCATTCGAATTGAACATGCATCAAAGCTAGGTTGTGTAAAGGAGCTACATTGAAAATTGCATCGCCTGATGGCAGTACCTATAATCAGGATCTTGATTTCGTTGCAGCCTATATTACAGGTCTGTATGATAGCTTGTACTACATTGAAGAAGTTGGGGCGCCGCATATCGTGGTGGGTGAACGTAGATTTGCGCCAGAGCTTCCCGAGGCCTGAAGGACCAAAAGCACGGTAGAATATAGCAATCGGATAACTGGTGACATATACTCCATGCATTGAAAGACTGGTAGTCGGATTAGCATTAAAGATCAATAAGCTTGTCCATCAATATATGTTCGTCCAAGCGGTTCTCACGGGCTTGTTGCATCTTCAAAGAAACAAACATCTCAAGGCCGTCCAACTCCTCCTGTGACAAAAGCGAAAGCCTATTTTAAAGAGATCCCTGTCCAAAATGTCGTTTATCTAGAAATTGCCAATAGATATCATCAAACATGTAGCTTTTCCTAGCAGCAAGGCAGAACCAAAAAAAGCCCGTTATTCAAAGACTCTGCCATGCGTTCTGAAAGTCGCTGATACTCTTTCAATGCACCATTTCGTTTCTTTTCGTCCTCGCATGATCGGAGTGCACTGAGGAAGAGATGCAAGCGTGGTGTATACCGTGCCAAGAATGCATGCAAGTCTGACTGCCAAGCTTCGGGGCTCTCGAAGAGGAGCCACCAGGGTGCAGTATAGGTATATTCGGCAGGCGCAACGTAAGTGAATTCCCAATCAATGACACCAGTGAGTAAAAAGTCTTGCTTTGCAACAAGTACATTGGACGGACGCAAATCTTCGCAGTAAAGATGGAACGGACCCGACCGCTGCTTTTTATACTCCCGGGCGATTTCCCTCAAAAGGCAGCGGGCTATGCATTTCTTCCGAAAATCTTGCTCATCTTCGACAGCATCGTTCCGTTGGTATTGAAGGTAGAGAAGCTGCTGTCTCGCGAGTTCCTCGAAATATTCGCCCGCGGTACTGAATGTCCCTTCGGCAAATATGCCAGGAGGAAGATTTCCAACGCGCACCAGTTCGTCATATTGAGGGTTAGTGGCCTTTGAGCTACTTTCCACATCTGGGATCCCTCTTCCAGAGCTCCAATAGACGAAAAGATTGGTTTAGACAATTCCAAGATAACTTACGCCATCACGCGATAGGCACTTTGAATGTCGGAGTCGGAAACATTTGGATTAAGGCTGGGCGACTGGATTGTTGGGTCCCCAAGGCGGTTGGACAACAACATTCCCTCAGTGAAAGTTATGACAAGGTAAGGGCCGCACCCCCATCGACCCATCCCAAGAATGCAGGGGACAGGGAGCGCGGTATTTTGAGATAGGAATTTCATGACTGAAGCCTCGTTTCTACTCTTTTCCGTCCGAAAGCGGCTTCTACCCAGGATTGGGAACCGAACAAGTGCACGGAATCCATCCTCGAAGGTAACAATGCAGCAAATATTGTAAGCGCCCGTGGTAAACTGTGAGACATCAGCCACCCATGCAGTGCCACGACGATTCTGGGTTGCGACTCTCGACGGCAAGGCAGGGGACTGCTGGGAAAGCAATTGTAGCCAGCCAGCAAACAACTTGTCATTATACTCCTCAGAAAGATGATCCCAGTCCATGGTTGTTGAGGTCGGAGTCGGAGGCGATAATGCAACAACAGCATGGGGTTTGTTGATGCGCTTCGAAAGTCGTGGTTTGGAATCCATCATGTGATAACCGGGTATCTTCGGGTCCAATCGGTGCTGAGAGAATTAAGAGTTGAGAGAGTCGAGAGCTTATTGGAGTCAAAGAGGTCATTGATGGCTTATCGGACCAGGAACGGCAGCTTATGACACAGGCTGCCAATGCAAGCACCATCAAGCGCCAGAGAAACAAGAAATAGGGACTTACAACCTAAGTGTACATGACACCATGTCTGCTGGGAGATGATGTGCTAGATAGAAGAACAGCAAGGTTCAGCAACACAACATCGATGAATTAGGCCACTAGTTGGCGATTCTATACACGTTATGGCATCAATTACCACCCCTCAACTTGTTGAGAAGATCTCCTAAATGTATTATGGCCCTTTACCATCGATATCCTTTTCGCAAAGCCTAGAGATACCCGTACCGTGTACTTTAGACCTATTGAATACTATTGCCTCGTTTATCATGAACTACACCAGACACAGAACAAGATAACAGTCAGGCAGCTGCTGAGGGATATACTTATATAGCATTGTTTGCTAAGTATCCCAGTATGAAGCCTTTACATTGTGCGCAACAAGCTGGTTCAACATTAAGCACATGAAAAGTCGACCGTCACGGATCTCATGCTCGCACTAATAGTGAGATAATTTATGTGTAGAATGATATATGTTCGACGGGCCACAAGATATGCAGTTTTCCTCGAACTGGGCTCTTCTATGCGCACACCTCAGAAGCTTTATCCGGATGAATCATGTCGTTATTGATCCAGGTCATGTAATTCCAGTAGTCCGCCTGTGTACCTTGACCGTCGACGGTTGCATTCCCCGAAAACTTAGCAGTCCAATAGGCGCTTCCTCGAGAGTATTTTGCGAAAGCATAAAGTCCGGTGTTGAGAGCTTCCTCTCTGTCAGCGAAGGTGTTGTTGTACTGTGCCTGGATTGACCATTCGCCGACAAACACAGGGAATTTGCCATCACCTGCTCCATCCTCTGCATCGGCACAGATGTATGTGGTAATGTTCTGGCCTGTTGCTCCCCGGCCAGCAAAGTAATAGTTATGCACATCGAAGACCAGGTTAGCGGATGAAGAGAATTTCGATGACCAGTACTCTTCGCCTCGGAAGCTACCTTGAAACATAACTGGTATATTCGGATTGACTTTCTCGACCCTGTCCAGTACTGCTTGAATATATTTCAGAACCCAAGCTGCACCTTCATCCGATAATGCTGCTGGACTGCCAAATGCTGACATATCTGTGTTGTTCACAGGTTCGTTGATGGGTGCAATGGTAAAGGACTCCGGATGGTTCGAGTTCTGAATATAGGTGATGACGGAGTCAATCGCCTGAAGAGAATAATTCAACGCTGTCTGGTTGTTGAACCATCCATAATGTCCCGTTGCCTCTCCAAAAGCCATACCATTTACTCCACCGGGTAACGAGTGTACATCAATGATGACATGCATGGAATGCTTAGTGATAGCGTATGTCGCAATGTTGTTCAGAAACGAAACCTGGTTCCCTGAATACAGTTGTGACCCGGGCACTTTGACCCAAGAGGCATACGTGGTGGGGATACGCAAAAGGTTCACGCCGGCGTTTGCTAAATTATCAATATCCGAGGTTGTGATATAGGTCGCATATCTTCTCTCCAAAACGGGACCACACTGAGAGCCTTGGTTTACACAAAGGCCCCATTCGTCGTCCGCGCCTTTGGAATATTCGGCCCACCAAGTAGTATCGATAGTGCTTTCTTGCTCAAGCCATCCGCCTAGGTTAACTCCATTGGCACTGTACGTAGTCCAGTTGAGGTACTCCGCCGCAGCGAGGGCAAAGCCAGCTTGGAGGAAGAAGGCAGAGAGTAGGTTGACCATTTTGCGCGGTCAGAATGAGAGTAGCTTATAGACAGGACAAAATGAGGGAGGGCTGATGATGTTCATTCTGGTACTGGTGTCGTGTCTCTATTTATCCCCCGAATCAACCGTGTCCGACGGCTTCTCGGTTTCCAATCTCCCTAGACCCTGCAGGCTGTCGTTCTGATGACCTCTCGTAAACATCTCAGTGTATTTTAGTGAGAAAATCACCGAGATCTCTACATGGGATCACTTCGCTCTCTGTGTATGAGGACTAAAGGCTCGGTGTTAAACTTCACCGAGAAGTGATGAACACTGACCTCTTGGAGTCACTTATGTATATTGCTTGGCCAGGTTGAGTACCATTTTGCTGTCAGCTGCTTGCAATTTCCTCCACATCCCGAATTGTGTGGACGTGGAGAGACACAGCTCAATTGGAAGGACCTCTAGCGGTACCAGCAAGGCTGGTGGAGACCGTCATGGCATTGGCTGCCTCTCATCTGTGAGGGAAGTATATGCATGCAAGCCGTTGAATGAGATCCCGAGGAAGCCTTAGGCGCGCCGGAGCCCGCGGGCACCGGGAGCTAAGCTTGCATTTCAGGGTCATGTGCAGATCCAACAGTGGAGCCGAAGATGGAGCCCGTATGCAGTCGAGGACGATCTTCATCTTAATCCATGGGCATATGTGTGTGCGCACGGGCTAGATTACCCTGCCATCATAAACCCAGTGCCAGATTATGAGCTACGGGTAACGGAAAGTCTGTTGTCCTCAAGCATCTCCTCGATTGTCTTTGAAGATTTTACACTGATAGACGGGATGGTGGCTACATGGCGCTCTTCACTTGAATTAATTCGCCTATATGCATTTTAAGTGTCGATGGTGAGAAGGAGAGCCGACCCGGTTGGCTTCTCAGACAGCGCTTGGATTGTCAGACAGACCATTCTGACTGACAGGTTGATGTCACACTTACAAATCCACCATTATCTGCTTTATTTATTCGAAATTGCGCCCCGTCCTGATGTCTTCCGCTACTTCATCGCTTACCGGGTCGCCCATCCTAACATGGCCCCATAGTCCAATTTCTTGGCCCTGGCCTATACACTTCGACTAAAAACAAACCCTTGATGAACAACGAAAGTTGCTAGTCAATTGATAACGAGCTGCCAAGCTCACGCAAATGTTGAAAGCTCCGGTGAACTTTTGTAGAACTACTGGCTCGCAATGGCTAGAATAATCAGATAGTTGTGACGTTATTTAGTCGGGTCAGAGTTCAGCATGATAATGGGAAACAACGACCTTCACCAATAGACTTTCCCTCTTCTTCTTCTTCTTCTTCTTCTTCTTCTTCTTCTTCTTCTTCTTCTTCCTCATTCGAGTTGCTCAAAGGTACTGGTATATTTGGAAGAAGTATATATTCTCTTTGTGAAGGGTGGACGACATGTTGTGGTACGGTGAGAGTGTTTGCAGCTGCCAGTAGCAGGATTATATACTTATACTTAGTGTGACTTGAATGGTTTAGGGTTTTAAATGAACAGGATCACGCAGTTCGCCAACTGAACTGTACATATACTTTGGTAAACTCCTCTGCTATACATTTACCACCCCGAATATTTTTAGGTGGGGAAAGGCAAAAGTACCGAGTAAATAAATAAATAAATAAATACAAACCCTATGCAAGCCATGTGTGGCTTATACTTTGGGGAAGAGATGACTGCGCCACCCCCAAACGCGGCGGAGGTGGCTGGTGCCATTGCGGGAATGAGTCAAAAACAGAAAAAGATGAAAAAGAAGCTGAAATGGAATTTACGCAGAAACAGAACAACTTAGAAATCAATCATCATGCCGTACCAGCTTGTCATATTTGACTTTGACGGCACACTGTTCGACACCTACGATGCCATCGAGCACTCCATCCAATTGACCTTCCAGCGCCTTCTGCCCTCTCATCCTCCGCCTTCGTCCAGCGACATTCGCCCGCTCGTCTCCACCGGCGCGCCTCCCGGGGACACCTTTCGCAGTCTACACCCCGATCCCACCACCTTCGACGAGTCTCTCTGGATTCCTACCTATCGCGAGTTGTATGCCATTCATGGCCAATCCCGTACAAGTCCCTATCCCGCCGCTCGCGACGTCCTACAAGCATTGCACGATCGGAATCAACCCATGGCCATCATCAGCAACAAAGCAGCGGTCGCAGTGAAGGCGGCTTTGGAGAAGACCGACCTGCTCCACTTCTTTCCAGATTCCCTCATCCTGGGTCATGGTGTGGCCGGCGTGCAGCGCAAGCCGGATCCGTCCAGCTTCACAGACGTGCTCTGGCCGAACTGGAAAGCCCTGGGGGCGCCCGAGGAGGTGGAAGCGGAGCGCGTACTGATGGTTGGAGACACCTTGACGGACATCCTGTACGCAAGAAACATCGGAGCCCAGGTGTGTTGGTGTCGGTACGGTCAGGGCGACGTGGAGGAGTGCCAACGCCTACAACCGGATTATACTGCGGAGACACTAGAGGATGTGCTCAAGATCGTGGAGGGCAGATCGTGACTGGTGAGACGCCCTGTGGCATCTCACTCATGACACAGGACCATCGTGTAGGCAGCTCTTCTTTCACGCGATACGCATAGACATAGATTCACATAGACCTATTGCTCGTCTCCCAGTTTCCCGATACTGGAGATCGAGGCACCTCACGCCTTCGCCTTCCACCGGCATATACTGGTCTAGAACCCCCAGAGAGTATCAATTTCGAAGGATACTTCTAACCAGTACTGACTGGTGTGTGCAACTGCTCGCTGATAAAATCACCGGTCCGTGTAAGTGGCAGAGAGGAGGCCCCCGCCTGGTAGAAAACCCCATTTTTCTCCTGTCCTCATACGCTGGTCTTGTAGAATTTCATTCACCCTTCCAGGGTGACTCAAGCGTACAGTGCCAGCAAACCTAGTTTCCACACTTATCTCTGCTCCACGTTGTCGAGAAGCAAAGCCTGATAATTTCAAAACGCGGGGGTATATTACAATTCCGGTCGGCGCTCTACAAAGAGGCTTAAATACGGACTTCTCCTTATCCCCCTGATTCACATCAACTGCGTGCAGTCCAGTTCAGGAGTCATACAGCTCGAATGGGCATAGTTGATTGAATTCATTCTCATTCCTTCATTTCCGTCTCGACAATCCGTATGCGATATGACGTCATATTATTGGTATTGCTGGGGCGGGGAAATCCAACAAGTCAACCGCTGATTTACTTTACTAGTATTGTTGTTTCAGTTCGTCCTCATCTCAGGCTCTTGTTGGCTCTCACCCGACTTTCTCACTGCTCCATCGTTGGATCAACAACAGCATGGCCTTTGCACGTCGGCTCGCCATCCTCCCCGGTGGTCTAGGTAGGCATCGACCCGACCTCGTCACAATTCCCATCTGAGTATTGACTGCCTCTCCCGACAAGGCGGCCTGGGTTCGAGTATTGGTAAGAAGCTTCGCCAACAAGGTGCTCGGCTAGCTCTTCTATATGCCCCGTTCGAGGCTGCCCGACGCGATGAGCTGCTAGAGGCGGGCTACGGTGAGTCGCCCGCGCGCGACGAGATCCGAACGTATGAATGCGACATCACAGACCCCGACGCTGTGGAGTCGGTCTTCACCACCCTGAAGGAGGATGTTCTTACCCCATCATCGACGTCACAGTCGGCTCGGGCCTTCCCCAGTATCCTCGTCAACACGGCGGGCTATGTATCGCTCAGTGATTTGGAGTTCACCCCGCCGCAAGAGACCCTGAAGCATCTGCACACCAATGTCCTGGGCCCCATGCTGTGCTCGCAGGCCTTTGCACGATTGTACTTGGCTGCGGCGGAAGTCGCTCATGCGTCACCTAATCCGCCGCCTCCCGGTCGCATCGTCAATCTGGCCTCCCAAGCCGCACATGTGGCCCTGCATCGTCACGGGGCCTATTGTGCATCCAAAGCGGCACTCTTGGGGCTCACGCGCAGTATGGCTTCTGAATGGGGAGGCCGTGGTATCACGGCGAACAGCGTGTCTCCGACAGTGGCCTGGACTGCTCTGGGACAGAAGGCCTGGGGGCAGGATGATGTGCGGGAGGCTTTCCTGAAGACGATCCCGACAGGCAAGTTTGCGCAGCCAGATGAGGTTGCGGATGCGGTTTTGTTTCTTTGTCAGGTACGCAGCTGACTCAATGACTGAGGAGTATTTCGCTTTGTTCTGATTCGTAAAACAGGACTCAAGTGGAATGATCAATGGAGCGGACATTCGCGTAGACGGTGGATTTACTATCAGGTAAACTGGACCGAGATTTGACCTTGACCAGTTGGAGGTCCACTATATGATAGATGTCTGATGCTACATCGAGCATAAGGAACACCAATCCGGATATAGTGGCAATAATGAGAACATTCTTAAAGTTAATTCTTGGCAGGCCAACCCTGGTATGACAGCGTTAGTATGTATAAAGTATGCCTTTCTACGTCTTGTGAGAAGTAGAATGGTTATGGTGTAATTTCGAGGAGTGCTTAAGATTCATATCTCCCTCGTATCCGGCTACAGACTATGAAGATTGGTACAAGAATGACACCATACTTGGATCCTGTCTGTCTATGACACCTATGCTTATTTTGTGTTCCAAACACCCCAGGATTCCAGGGTTGGCACTCCCTACCGTCACACAAATTGTAACATTCATAGCGCAGTCGATACGGCGCAAGTCTGCCCAAAAGAGTTGTCTCTCCATTGTGTCAAACGGACCAATCATGTCACTAGCATCTGGAACTTTGAATATTGGTGGGGGTAATCTCTTTCACATTTGCTACGGGAGTTGCTCTTGGCTGGTGATTCCACCGGTCTGTGTACAAGCCATTGAGGTTGTGATGCCTCCCGTAAACGAGGTCGGAATGAGCGCGGTAGTGACCCATGGAACGGCGACAGCAGGTAATTTCTATTCCTGAGACGTCCTACCGCTGACTGGTTAGAGATAAGATTTTCGGCTGAGACCTTGGATCGTATCAGTTGGCCCGTTCGGCCGGCTGGTCCAGTTTCTGCCCTGGAGTCAGCCACCGGACAATGCCCGAATTGACACTATTCGGGTTCGCTACACGAGCTCGAGGAACCAAACAGCAGGGGTCTACACTGTCGCTGCATTCAAGCCACTTTTCCAACCCATGCGAATTATCTCAACAGTATCTGGGCCGGATACAATGATCATAGTAACAACTCTTTCACCCCTCCGCAGTCATAGGAACCCGCGCGTGTCCTGAACTGGTGGACGGGTTGACAGAATTTTCACCGCAAAGTTTTCCGCTCCGATCTTAATCCCCATGCCTTTGGAACGGTACTACAAGCTGGGCCGTTCCAGAGTGGGCTTATTAACACGAGTGTGTCAATACGCCGCTTTCCTTGGCTATGAGAATTATCCGCGCAGCTACACCCTTACCCCTTGTAATATTCAGCTGCGCAAGGTAAAGACTCAGTAGAGGGCGACATTTCCATCAGCCGATCAACCTTAGAAAAGTCTATCTTTACAGTAGAACACATCCCGAGAACGATATCGACAATAAGGCATTTACACCAGAGTCTCACTCTCCCTTGGCTAACTTGATTCGCCGCGATCGGCCCCGGAGCCACGGGCGCCTCAAACATGGAAGCACGGATGGAACCCCGAGGGAAGGACTTCCAGCAATCGTATGCACGCGCGAAATATCCCCTTTGAGAATCAGGTGGGCCCGACTGGGCTTCAAGGCTAGGTTTTATTGTCACGAGCGGCATAGGAGCTCCTGAAGCAGTACTTACAAGACACAGCTCCCGGTTGTTGCCTACGTCCCCTTAACACGCAATGGAAGCTCCCATTCCCCGTTGAGAGGCTATACAATCGGCCGGCGTGCTATTGGCTGTCCTCTTGTTAGCTCTAGCAAGTTTCAGCAGAAGCTGTAACAACTAAAAGGAGCCAGGCACCTGAGGTGCCTTCTACTACGCCATTAGCCTAACAGATACATCCAGTACCTCTCTGAAAAAGCAACCTTTTTGTCTTTTCAGAACATGGTGTCGAGCGCCAACACTTGGGTGTGGTTAGCGGTGGTGCTGCTAGTCAGTAAGTGATCGTCGGGGGAAAACGGTGTGACACGATGCTGATCAGTGCTGATCGCCTATCATGACAGCCCTACTGCGCTATGTCTCCCGGACGTTGCAGATGGGAGTGCCCCGCCATCTTCAACTCGAGGATTTGTTGATGGGCTTTACTGTTGTATGCTTGACCATTGAAATGTCGACTAAATAAAACCGCCATGACTCACAGCCATAACAGGTCTTCTACATCTTGCTCACCGTCTTCTTGATTGAAGTGCAAAAGCATGGCACCAACGAGATCCCCAGAGATCAATTCGGTGACATCGAGCCCTCCTCCATCCCAGACCGTATCACAGGTAGCAAACTGGTCATTGTGGTGGAGCAGATGTGGCTAGCCACCATTTGGGGTTGCAAGGCTTGCCTGCTGCTGCTGTATTCGACCATGACGTGGGTTTGCCTTGCGTGAAATTTGTTGTGACGCAACATCTGATTATTTTCTAGCTCCGGACTCTCGCAGCATCGGATTGTGAAGATCATCGGTGCCTTCTGTGCCCTTAGCTTCGTCATTGTGGAGATCTTATTCTTTGCCGCCTGGTGTCGTCCCTTTTCTGCATACTGGTCCGTGCCGCCGAAGAACCTCCAGTGTTCCGTCTATCGCAACCACTTAATTCTGGTACTCACACTGAATATCTTGACTGACCTGATGATTATGGCCATTCCACTACCCCTGCTGGTAAAGGCGAAATTGACTTTGGCCAAGAAGATCACCCTTTGCGCGGTCTTCTCGCTGGGTGCCTTTGTGATTCTGTGCTCAATTCTGTCCAAGTACTACTCACTTTCTAATCCATATGGCGACCAATGGGTGGACTGGTACGTCCGCGAGGCTGCCACAGCAGTGATCGTGGCCAACATTCCTCAAACCTGGACTTTATTCCGCCGACTGTTCAATTGGCGGGCGTTTTTGGCCCACTCGTCATACGACCGCAGCCATGGAAAATACACCAGTCGCATGGACAGCTCGACCGTCCATCTATCCCGCTTCCGCGTTGGCGACAAGTCGCAGGGCCGGTCTACGATCGACCCAACCGAATCTGGCGAGTACATTACCCGAGAGCAGCCGTTGGAGATTTGGGAGCATCGCCAGTTCGACGTCACAAATGAGCCCGAGGAGTTGCGGAAGAGCAGCAGCCTGAGCCAAAGCAGTAATGGTAGCGTGGAGTTCGACACGACCGGATACCAGACGCAGCAGTCGCGGACAATCGTGACAGCGACTGAATGATTCAGCTGTGATCCTCGGTCACTCGGTATGTAGGAGATATTTGTGTATCATATCTAGGGTCAGAATAGATTCAACATGCCCTCTGCCGAGTCCTCTCTCCAGCTTCTTAACAGAGCGATACTAAGCCAGAATTGGAATAGGAGTAATGACAAGAGCTTCCAACCAATAATCAGTATTATATGATATCCACTCATCAGCACTAACTGCATCAAGCCTAGTTCCAGAGTGAGCTGCAGGGGCCAGGGACCGTTTGCCAAATCGGGAAATCGTGTATAGCCTTCAGGATTCTGGCGGCGAATATCACTATGCTGTAGGGCGGAAAATCCTCTCACTACTACATTCTTTTCCTCTCGCAAAGATCCGCTGGCAAGACATAAAAGGCACCTTGATCCCTCAGCTTTCTGATTTCCATCAACCACAACATCATCACTCATTCACAATGTCCCAGGCCGATTCCCCTCTCAGCCTTCAAGGCAAAGTAGCCCTTGTTACCGGATCTGGCAAAACGAGAGGCATCGGGGCCGCCATTGCCACTCTTCTGGCTCATCATGGTGCAGCGGTCATCCTCAACTATGTCTCGTTGTCCACGGCTGCTTCCGCTGCCACCGTGGCGGAGAGCATCACCGCCGCGGGCGGACAGGCCCTAGCCGTCCAGGCTGACATCTCCCGGCCTGACGGAGCGCAGAAACTCGTTCAAGAAGCGGTTGATGCTTTTGGAAGGCTTGATATCCTTGGTTTGTCCGCGAACAATCTTCACTTCCCTGGCTCTGATGCTTGCTAACTTGGACCAGTCAACAACGCCGCTACTGGCACCCCGGGACCGGTACTCAGCGCTGCCCCCGAAGCTCTAGCGACCACCTTCGCCGTCAATGTCTTTGGTCCAATCTACGTCATACAGGAAGCAGTGAAGCACATGCCGCCACGAAGTCGGGTCATCAACATCGGCTCGGTGGCGTCCAAGTTGGGTATCTCAGGATCGCCGGTCTATAGTGCTTCAAAGGCGGCGATGGATGCGCTGACGTTTTCCCTTGCGATGGAGGTAAGCTGAAGACGTGGTTGAGATCTCGCATAAGGAGTGTACTAATTGGTGCATAGCTTGGTCGCAATCATGGCGGCATCACCATCAACACAGTTTCCCCCGGTCCGGTAGATACAGATGGTTTGCCGCCGCAGGTGGCAGAAAAGATCAACAAGACGTTGGTGCCAATGAGCCGAGTCGAGGAACGACTGGGAACTGTGCAGGATATTGCGGATGCAGTACTGTTGTTGTGCTCAGAAAAGAGTCGCTGGATCTCCGGACAGGTCATTTCCGTCAGTGGTGGAATTGTAGGTGGCTAAAGTGCGATGGTTATGGTTATGAACCTGAGGTCTCTAGCGCTGAGAGAAAAGGTAGATAGCCATCCAGAATGTCAATGGACAGGATACTTCTGACCAGATCTAGGCCTTCCTTGCTATCCATGCCTAGGAGGTTCAGAACAGCACTGATATCGTCAAGGTACATCGATGACTGGATAGAATGAGAGAGTCGAGACATTGTTACAATGACCCAGAGATACAGTTTCAGAAATGAGTCGTCGTAGTTGGCCTTCTCCATCTGCAATATGAGCGTCGACAACTTGCACCGCAGGTATTCGCATTCGTGGGCGGTAAAAAGGAAGACCGCTTGTTTCAATGTGCCAAGGAATAGTAACAGCACCAGCCGGAGTGCTTCGCGTAGCTGTAGAACTGGGATGTCTGTTGCGCTAGGATTTATCTCGGTCGGCCTCGACATGGAAAGTAGGAAATGTGTGGCTGGGCCAAACAGTTCAATTACAGTGAGGTTATCCTCGTTTAGCCAGACTGTCTCAGAACGACGAAGGGACCCGTCCGTGTGTTGAACAAGGAAGTTCGCATAACTGAAGGCTGTTGCCATGTCGCTGAAGTAATCATATCTTGCAGCAAGGTCCTCTAGAAGTTTTCTCAGGGTGGGAGACAGAATATTAGGGACTTGGGATCCGAATCCCGGCGGAGTAGGCAACCGGGGCCGGGTGTCTTCCATCACGCTACCCACAACGTCGAGCCTGATGCCGAGCAGTTAGCTCATAGATCGATGAAATAACGAGAAGGGTTGAGAAGATTACCAAATAGCGAAGCGCGTAATACTATCATCTAGGCCCCGGTATCCACCCCTCAAGTGGATGATACGTCCCAGGCCACTAATATGGATTTTCCAGCGATCCAGCGTACCCACATAGAGCTACCTGCCGATTTAGCATTCATTCAGCGGTCGTCTATGGAGAATAACAAACATCGTGACAGGTCAGGCCCAATATAGCCGTGATGACCCCTTGGCTGAGTCTCTCATGAGTATTCGCTAGCCGGTGCGTGACCTGCCGGACGCACTGACCGTAGTAACTTAGACACTCTGCACTAGTCTCGTACCTGTACGACTGGGCCCGCAAACGTTGATCAAGAAACATGGCAGCATTGGCCAAGGCCACAAGAACGGCAGTGGTGTCAGTTAATGCCATGGAGAACCATACCGTCCGAAAGGGACGAAACACGTAGTCGCGGTCGGTAGTCACTACGCGGGTTAGATAGGTAAACTCGAGGAGGCGCTGGTATCTGCAGGGGCATACTGAAGTGCATGAGCTGTAGCGCTCGGTCGCTCATAGCGCCAGGATAGAACGTCGTATTGCATGGGTCAATCGACACTGGGATGTGCTCTGTCACTGGCTTTGAAAGGGCTCTTAGGGTGACGGGCCAAGTTCGTTGCCCCGGACGGGTGCGACGACGCGATCTCCCAATGTCGCGCATGACACGGCGCCGGATGGTGCGCTGCGTTGACGCAGACTTGACTTCGTCGGGATGCGAGACATTTACGAAGACGAAATCATCCTCTGCCGAGGGAGAGAGTTCCATGATGATGAAGGGTGGACCAGATTGATTAGGATAACTAGCCACAAGGGTTCAAACAGTCAAAGTAGCGGGAATCCGATAGGGGGTGGTAAAGTAGTTAAGTGTCATATTATGCATGTCAATTAGTAATCAGACTGCATAACTAACAAGTGCATCAGCTGAAGGATCGAAGGATCAAAACTCGATCGAGCCCAGCAGTCCCGGGAATAGCGAGTATTCCCCAGACAAAGCTGTCAAGGAGTGATCCGTATCGTCATCATTATCAAAGCCTGGCCACAGGTTCGCTGCATCAAAGTCGACGGAAGGCAAGTCTCCTCGGTCTGCTCGGGTTCCCCAGCATAGAGGGCAATCTTGGGCGCTGTGCACATCACTAGACAACCAGTCACCCACATTCACTGTCCCACCTGCAGCCCACGGATAATCCTCAGTGGCCATCTCAAAAAGCATGCGCATGATGTCTTTGTTGATGACGATGGCCCTCACTCGGGGCAAATATTCCTGAATTGTCTTTGCCGAGAACGTCGAAATTCGGCTTGCTTTTTCATCACGAGACCGATAAATCGGAATGGAGTCCGCCAGGAGATCAAAAATGTCCCGCAAAGGTTCAGCTTCAGTCCACCGTTCAGACAGTACTGCCAAAATAACTGAGCATGTTCGAATGGCTGGGCCAATGTTTGTTGACTGAGTCTCGATGGATCGTTGCGATGGAGGCACCACCCATAGGCAGTATAACAGTGTGATGCCTATCCCAAACTGGCTAAGGAGCTATAAGTGTTTCAGTTGCTATCCTGGGAGACTGTGTAAGGGACAGCTACTCACCCCCGGCCATAGTTGAGCCGTTTGACGGCTCTTGAGGTACTTCCAGAATGTTAGTGCGATGTCGGTACAGGCTCCAATACAGTGCTCCATGACCAAGTCACTCATATTCGCTTTTGTCGGTCGATAAAGGAGGAGCACTGTATAGTTGTACAGCATGCCCACCCATCCTTCGCTGGTATAGCCCTTAGAGAGCGGGTCGCTATGGGGCTCCAGCTGCGCTTTCCACTCAACGAGCACCTCGAGCATATGAAGACGCCACTGATGAGATTTAGCAAGTCGCTGGTCATAGTCTGCTCGCATCATAATGCTCAGGATGCGAGACTGGATTCTTCGACCGCGGATCAGATGAAGAGCTGACGAGACTTGAGTCCTGCGTGGGGTGGATGCATCCGGCTCCAGCCGATCAGTACGGACTTGCCATTCTTTGATCTCGTGGTCGTTCATGTTTGCAAAAGGCTGTTTTAATCAAGTCAGATCCACTGATTTATTATGCTGCAAGCGAGATCTCACCTCAACTTGAATATCTTCATCTGCTAGACTGCACGGGACATGATAAACCCAACTGACTAGGCGATCAATTGCGTAGGCAGACCAGAACACACGGCGTCGAATCTGCCTTTCCCAGAGAAGTTCTTGCGGCCGGTGCGCTACTTCTGACAAATGCAACTGTGCCACCACGCAACAACGCACGGCTGCAGCGATCATGGTCAGGACCGTTTGCGAAGAAGGCGAGTGGAGTGCATGCAGTGTGCACAGTAGGTAGGCCTGTGCATGCAATACCGGGTCAAGACAAGCGAACACAGCATCCAGAGATGATGTAGCGGAGGAATATAGAGCCTATGGTCTTCAGCGGGGGTACGTTGCGACTTCACGGTACTCCTACCTGAGAAATTTTCATATCGCGAGGTGATACTCGAGGTGCAATCAGAAGGCTAACTGCAAGAGCCTGCCGCTAGCTGTCAGCATGGGCTGCAAGTGAGTGGCGAATAACCCACCATCTTGATGAAAAATGCCTTCCATTGCTCTTGCGGTGGCAGGGGCACACCTAAGTTCCTAGATGCTTTCCACGATTCATGCCAGGCAATGAAGGTCCCTTCGTGTAGGAAGGGATAACGTGGGTTCACGCGCTGGAGAAATGTCTGGATCAGCTCATCCTGGGTCTGTGAAGGAATTTCCATCTCATAGTTGGTCCCGGGAAGGAACCCTGGATGGGGGGAGCCTTGGACAACGGGGGGGATGATAGTAACAGAAGGGGTACTTCCAGCTTGCGTGCTTTCGGCATCTCCCGGGGTATGTGATGAGAGGCAAAATGCCGGAGATGTTGCATCTTCTGCGGTCAGGGCTCGACTCATTCGTGTTCGTGGCGGTTCAGGTGACTCTGTCGGTTGCACGTCTGCCTTACTTAGGCCTGAAGTGGTGCCCAGACCAAGAGCATGATGAGCGGGACCGTGTTGTTGAGACTCGAGCTCGATTATCCGTTCCTCCAGAGCACGAGCATACCTGTTGTGGTCAGATTCATGCTGCCTGGTCATCAGCCTGTTTCGAGATCTACTTACTCTGGATTGACACGACTCTTCCTAGCGGGCCGTTGACTGGGGACACAGGCTGATTCAAGTCAGTTAGAAGAGAACATCAACAAGAGCAGCACGATCAAAACAGCTTTACCTGCTTGTGCCTGCACACAATTGGTGCATGGTCGAGGCTGGCTGCACTATATAGCCGCCCTTGCATTAGCGAATATAATTCGATTGGCAATGATGGGGGGGACATGCTTTCTGTTTGCGAATCCGGCAGCGTCGGCAGGCCAAGCGAGGTGAAGGGGCCGGACTAGGGGACATTCTAAGATGCTGAAGAAGGTGGCTAGCCGTGTCTTCAAGAGCTTCTACATATCAGCAGCTTTGATTCAAGGGTTTATGGCAAGTAGATTTAGATGAGGCTGATTGCTACCAATCAATCCATCAGTTATTAGTCAATTGAAAACCACGAAACCAGGCAAATATCCCGGAACGGGTTAGTTGCAGCTGATGTAATGGCTGACTAAGTATTATGCCTGAGGCGACAAAGCCTGGTTGCCTTTTTGGGAAATTACATGGAATATTTGCAACGACAAGAACAGAGCAGAATCACCTGCGATTAATCCAGAGGTGTATGCTACTTGATGGTAGAGAACCTACTAGCATATCACAATGGCATTGGCCCTCGCTTTTCGCCTACTCCGCTCCAAATGCATCCACCCTTCAACTGAAACATCCCTATAATATATCACATTTTGCGGGACGGTATATACATCAAGCTCGCTAGAGTCACCGACAGCTTATACTGGCGGGGGGTTCAGGTCCAGCCCATCTACGGTGAGCTTGAAGGAATCATTGCGTGAATAACTGCCGGCTACGTCCAGATCCAACCGGCCGCGCTCACAATCCTCCACATCGATCTCGGTCATTGACAACGCGGCTGCCATGGCTGGATCATCGGGATCTTTGGCGTCTGTCACATCGTCTGTGCTGACTTCCCAGATGGGCTCACTCAAAACCTCTCCTAAGGGTCCGACAATGCAGGAGCCGCCCCGACATACATATTCATCGCCATCATGTTTGTCCTGGGAGTTGGCTGTGATCCATCCGGGCAGTTCCCGGCGTCGCACACATTGGTTGGCAGATAGAACGAACGTACGGCCTTCTCCAGCCACTGTGCGCATCAACGGCAGCCAGGTATCGCGGGCATCGGCTGTCGGAGCCAAATAGAGGTTGACATTCTGGGAGTACAGGCTCTGTCGAAGCATCGGCATGTAATTCTCCCAGCAGATCGCTGCTCCGATGGTCAGCCGAACCCCATTGAGTTCGGTGGTGACAGCCTTGAGGGTGGAAGGCGATCCTTGAGCCCAAATCAGACGCTCCGAGGCCGTCTATCAGTCTCAGATTAGCATGATCAATAAATTCATTTGGGAATAAGTTGCTTTCACTCACTGGCATTACTTTCCGCCGCTTGCCCAAGGCGCCATCGCGCGGGTCAATGTAGATGGCAGAACAATATAGGCTACCCCCAGCGCGCTCGATGACGCCACACACGATGAACACGCCCGTTTCGCGGGAGATTTTCTCCAGTGCCTCTCGGGTGCCATCCCCGCGATATTCCTTGCCTCGTGGAAGGGGCAATCTCCGGTTCACCCAGTCGTCCCCAGCTCCGGTTGGGGTGTCGCCCAAGTCGACCGCGGCATGGAAGTATTCGAGGAATTGGTCGCGACCATGAGCGCCACGGGCACCAACCGCTGTGCCAAAGTCGCAAGTCCGGGGATAGCCTCCTAGATATGCCTCTGGGAAAAGAATCAAGTGCACCCCACGGGCTGCAGCATGGCGAGTCACTCGCTCCAGGGCCGCCAAGGTGGCTGCTAGGGTTGACTGGGTGCTGGCTTGCGCCACCGCGACCGTGAGCTTCTGCGGCATATCGGATATCGGACTTGATGAAGGAAATCAATAGATCAAGGGACTTCAAGTTGTGATCGGGAAAAAGGAGAGCTGCAGATGGTATATGCAGAAAGTCTAAATACCCTCTCGTGCGGGGAAGACAGCAAGAATTAACTTAATAATGTAGTCCGTCGGATATTGCGGGCCGGTCGGACCTTCAATCGGCGAATGCCTTCCGAACCCAGACCCAACGGATGCAGCCCACAGTCCGGAGATAAAAACCACCGGATATTCATTGCTTCCAGAGCTATAATGCTACTCCCGTTCGAATTGATTACATTTGGTCTTTGTGCCACCGCACCGCCTCTCTTCAGCGGTTTTCCTTGCCCTAAGCAACCTCGGTCACTCGATATTGACCAGTAAAGACGCTGGACCCATTTGCCTGGCTGATACTCTCGACATTCGAATCCCCTGTCAGTGTCCAAATACTACTGTGATCCAGATACACAGATGCAGACCGCGTCGTATTCGCCTCGTTCAGCGCGCCTGTCCATCTTGACCCGATCAGGTACAGATTGATGGCGCTGGTGTCGTCCACGTAGATGTCGCCGGTGACATCAATCCCCGAGAGATATACATTGGCAGTGCCGCCGTTCTCTCCCGACGTACCCCAATCACTGTCAGCAGTAATATTGGCTAGAATCCCGGATCTGATGGAGATGGCAACATCGCTCAGGTACACATAGGCCTCGATGTTAGCCACAAAGAGCAAGGCATAGGTGCCATTGGTCTCAGATACGGTGCCACCGTTCACATAAGCATAGGCGGTTTCCGTTGTGCTGCTCGATACCGTACTCACAATTTGAAACACACCATTGTTCTGCGTTCCGGAGGTAACATCACAGTCGGTCAAGGTAAACGAGTTTGCTCCATCAATGCATGCTACAGGGGCAATGGCTGATGTGCCAGTAAGGGAACGAACTGTAATATTTCCAGTGGAGTATACCAATGCTGATAGAGCACCGTAGGTGTACGCAGCTGAATCTTCTACCACGATGAGGCCGCCGCCTTGGTCAGTGGCGATGGCACTGCCATGGCCATCATACGTATAAATCTCAAGGTTTTCGCCGTAGATGGCTCCCCCAGCGGTGTAGATGCCATGTGAACCATCTCCTTCTGCGTGAATATACACATTGGAGAGGTAGGCAGTGGTGCCGTCTTCATAGGTGTGTAGTCCATTGGCACTCAAGCCGTTGGTGGTGATGTTGCTGTCGGTAATATAAACCGTGCCATTCGTCTCCAGACCGACTGCAGCATTCAAATCCGTGAAGGAGCTGTCATCGCTACTGGTCGTGTTGCCGGTCTTGATCAGGGTTACGTCAGACAAAATAGCAACTCCTGTCTCTTTGACAATGATCACCGCTTCATCGGTTCCGGTGGCGGTCAGGGTCGTATGAGCAAACGTCTTGGTGCTTCCACTGATATAGTAGGCAGCGGTGGTAGGCAGAGAAGTGGTAGATGAGGTAGCCGCAGCATTTAAGACTGACAGCAGATGCAGGGTTCCTACTATGAGGATATTCCACGGCTGAGGAGGCATGATAAGGGTAAAAGAACAGGATGCAGATTTTGGTCTTTTGAATTTGAACGACTGACTGCTCCATAGGCTGCCAGTGATTTCCTTGAGACCGCGATGGTGGCTTATATAGGCGTTCTGCGCGCAATATTCCCTTTTGTTTGGCAAATTCAGAATCAAGTCGGGACGTGGTCCATCCACGTGCTTCGGGTTTCTCCCCCAGGTAATCTACAATTACTTACACTATCCACGTGTGCTGCATCAGATTTTGGACCCTTTAGGAGTGCCCCTTTGACGATGTGGGGGAATAATGCGGAGAAGTGGATGTGGTTGATACACTTTCCTGCTTGCTTAACGTTGGTTCAAGGACCCCAGCGGCTGCTCATATGGCTCTGTTAGCTACCTTGCAGTACTTCCTCCTAAGCTATCGGTATCTGGGATAGAAATCCTTGAAAATGGCACTATTTGATTGATATCTCCTTCGGCCCCACGACAGCTTTTTGCGAAAGAAATTCAACATGTTACTTTATCTCCGCAAGAGATTCAATGAAGAAGTCTTTACTCGTCCCCAAAACGGCAGTCTTTCTGGGTTATGTTTGTCATAACTTTGGGTGTGCATAACTACTGGGCAAGATTAGCATATATAAAGCTACCACCTACCATCTTGTCCTGGTCAATATCGGCTGGCGAGATATTAAGCTTGATTCAATTGATGGGGATGTGGAGCCGACAATGTAGACGCGGCCCTGTCTGTACCCATCCTCGAGACTCTTTTCACAAACCCGATCATCGACAACCAATCATGGCGCTTGTCATGAAAGGATGACGCGGCAGTCCTCTTTATGAGCCGTGGGAAGAGTGCTTGTAAGGATAGGTTTCGAACTTTCAGTTATTGGAAGCAGCTGTCAGGCAGTTCCTATAATATTCTCGCTACCCCCCCTCCTGGAATGCTCAATCCAGCGCATTACTATCCATACTAATAGGTCATCGGAAATGCTGTCTCTCTTTCTCCTTGCTGCCCTTGGCACGGCCACAGTTACCCTCCATGATCCCGGCGACTTTGCTGTTCTCACCGCCGATGCAGCTGATGATGCATTGGCGGCGAATTGGGACTACACCCCGACTACCTATCAAGTCAATGCTATCGTGGGGGCTTATGAATACTCTGATAGAACTGGTACTATCAACCATGAGACGCTTGCCGTCTCTGCCAATGACACCAGTGTCCTCGTTATCACCGAAGGATCAGACGTGAATGCCTCCTACTCGACCATTGTTAAGCACGGGTACTCCAGTGATCTCTACCAGTCCAGTTTCTTTGGCCTGAACGCAGCCGTTAATGTGGCCAACGAGTCTGTGGCACATTTTGACCACATTAATGTGACGGTGCACAACGGGGCGGCCAATGTCTATTCCTATGGAAACAATACTTATGTCTCCATCTCAGACTCGAGCCTGTACAGCTCCGGTCCAGTATCGCATGGCCTGTATGCAGCAGGCTACGGTACCATTGTCGGCCGAAATCTAGAGCACTACTCCGGGGCTTATCGATCTTCGTCTTTTGCCGGGGACAGCCCCCAGGGATACGTGTATGTGTACGACTCCGTTGCGCATACGGCGGGCATTGGGAGCGCCATCATCTACGGTCAGGGCACCGTCTATGCTGAGAACATCGTGGGGTATGCCGAGCAGGCTCCCGTTGCCTTCTTAGATACCGCCCAGATTGACATTTACGATTCCGATCTTACTGCAGGCCTGCTGGCGGGAGCAGTGGTCTTCTCATCTGGGACACGGGGGTCTGGCTCGGAGATCAACTTCACCAACTCTCGTCTGACAGTTCTCCCTGAGGCGGCGGCAGCGCTTTGGTTCGGCAATGTTATCGCCAGCTCTCATCTGACAAGTACGGCCATCAACACTACGTCGGGCAACTTGGTCGTCGCCAATTACTCTCAGGTTACACAGGACTTTAGCTATTTCGCGGATTCTACGGCCGCCGCTGAAGCAACTGTCACAGTATCCGAATCGGATCTGGAGGGAGACCTTGTGGCGTACAATGGCAGCAGTATCAGCTGGTCGCTGACAGACTACTCCTCGTGGACAGGTACAGCCTACTCGGGCTATGGCATTTCGACCTTTGCGGTCTCACTGGATGTGACATCCACATGGACTCTGACCAATGACACGGTGCTCAACAATTTCACGGACTCGGACCGGACGTTGAGCAATGTGTACAGTGCTGGATACACCTTGTATTACGACGCGAGCGCAGCCGCAAACCGATGGTTAAACGGGACGACAAAGCAGCTGACTGGCGGAGGGTCTGTAACGCCGGCAACACTAAGTATATCCTTCTGACGAATGGCCTGCTGTATGGTTAAGTAAGCAAATCTGCGGGATGGATTGGGATTTGCCTCATCGACCAGCCCAGCCCCCTTTTTCTTTTCCCATCGTCATCTCATGATCGCAAGCCTCACGCGACATTGAGCCCAACCATGGCTTCTTCCCTCATTATCGGACTTCCTAAAATCTATGCCAATCGCGGTCGCAAGTGTGTGCCTCCGACCAATGACTTCCTGCTTGGCACCTGGCATGTTACACACTCCAGTCTGCCGCTTTGGAAGGGCAAGTGCAATGTCAACATCACTTATCAGTTGCTTCCGCCCGATTCCTCTGGCATGGTGAAGATTGACGACCTAGTCCGATATCAAGTCATTGGGTCAACAAAGATCAAATCGGTTCATGGGGTAGACACCCCAACTCCGGGGAACCAAGGGGCCTGGGACTGGCGCGGCAGGGGTTGGCTGATGATAGCAAGCTCGCACTGGGAATGCCTCGGCTTTGGTCAGACACTGGAAGTAGACAATCAATGGATGGTCACCTACTTTGCCAAAACTATCTTCACTCCGGCCGGCATTGACATCTATTCTCGCAATAAGGAAGGACTTCCCTCCACCATGATCGACGAGATTCTCCATAGCCTCAGAAGTCTTGGTGTTGAGGAGATCACCGAGCTCGCCAGCATGATCTTCCCAATTCCGCAGATATAGATTGGAAACAATTGGGGAAGCAGAATGAACAATGTCACCCTAAAAATTGACGTGTTCGGGCTGTCAACTAGTGTACTCCGTCCACAGTCACATTGGTGGGGTTCAGGTTCGCGAATTGCATCAACAGAACCGCGACCAGGATTGAGAGAGCGATCTTGAAGGTCAACAGTGGAGTGGATGGAGAAGTGGCCTGTTCCTTGCAGCTATTGGGAAAGAATCGGACGAGGAAAGGATCATCGGATTCACGGGCGGGGTTTCAACCTCCACCGGAGCAAATCCCAAAAAGAATGCAGATCCTGCAGCAAAGCCAGCCAGGATCCCTGAAGAAATATGAGACACGGTTGGGGTGGCACCGTCAGCAATATAATAACGGGCAGGGGATTTCTCCCCCAATCACCCGATTCATTCAGTCCCCTTATCCGCATCATGTACATATTACTAGTCACTTCCTGACCTGCTTGCCTTGCCCCTGGCGGTGCGATACCTTTTCGTCTCTATAGACATCTTCTTGCCTGATATCGACTCTTAGCATCATGTTGGCGCCTGTCCTTCTTGCTGCCGTGGCAATCGCCAATGTTGCGACTGCATCGTTACAAATTGTTTGTTCCGGTCCTGGTGTAGTCAGAGACCTCCCAGAGTAACTAACAGCTGCAGGTTCCGGGTGCGACATGGACTGCCGCGGGGACAAATCAGCATATTCAAGCTCATGGAGGTGGTAGGTGCTTTATACTCTCCATATGTAAACTTAAAATACCCGATCGGACATCTCTGATTCTGTGATTTTTTAGGCATTATTGAAGTGGACGGCACGTACTACTGGGCCGGGGAGAACCACCTGAACGGAAGCGCTTTCCAGTCCATCAACTGCTATTCCAGCACAGTGCGTCATCTCCGATCGGGAAACTTGTAGCATCCACACATGTCTGACGATACTTTCTAGAACTTGGTCGAGTGGACGTTTGAGGGTGAATTGCTCTCCTTGCAGAGCAGTGGAGACCTGGGCCCCGACCGCGTCGTGGAGCGGCCCAAGATCATCTACAACGAAGACACCTCCACGTATGTCATGTGGATGCACATCGACGATAGCTCCTATGGCGAGGCGAAAACGGGGGTAGCCACCTCCTCAAGTGTCTGCGGACAGTACGATTATCTGTGAGCATTCGGCCCGTTGTCGTACACCAGGAGACAAACTCATATCGGGATCTAGTGGTTCTTTCCAGCCGCTGGGCCATCAGTCGCGCGATATTGGTCTGTACAAAGATGACAACGGAACGGCCTATTTGCTTTCTGAGGATGTAAGCCAAGCACCAGATATTTCGATGGGCAATAATAAGCTAACCTCACAGCGTCCGAACGGCTTGCGGATTGACCGATTGACTGACGACTACCTAAATGTAACTTATACTACTCACCTGTTCCCGGAGCATTACGAGGCACCGGCCATCTATAAGCAGGATGGGGTCTATTTCATGTTCGGATCTCAATTGACTGGTTAGATATTTCGAGATTCCCTCTGTTTAATGCCTCACTGACAATCTTCAGGATGGTGTACGTGAAATCCGGAAGGAATAGCAGCCTGTGTGACTACTGACATCTGATGTAGCTGCCAATGATAATAAGTACACCACTTCCACAGACCTCAATGGCACATGGAGTGATTGGAGCGACTTTGCAACGGCGGGGACGGACACCTATGACTCCCAGACCACCTTTGTGATGCAGGTTGGGAAGAGCGTGATGTGAGCATGGCTGGAGAAGTGAGTATACTCATGTGCTGACGACGGTAGGTACATGGGTGACCGCTGGATCTCATCGAATCTGATGGCTTCGACATACATTTGGCTACCCTTGACATTGAGTGGAACCAACGCGACCTTGGTCAGATTCTCATGCGAAACGAACTATTGATTCATCCCACTAACTGCGACCGACAGATTGATAGCTCTAACTGGATCCCCTCCACAGACGGCACCTGGTCGTCCGGGGGCGACGAAACCGACCCCGAAGCTGAAGCATCCACCAACGTGCTGTCCAACGGAGCGAAGGTTATCTCGTGCAGCGGCTGCTCGGGTGACGAGTCTGTTGGCTGGATTGGAGGGTCCGACAATGGGACTCTCGAGATGCGTAACATCTCCAGTGACGCGTCGACCACAACCACCATTCAGGTGCGGTATGAAAACGGAGATTCCACCCAGCGCTACGCCACCGTCACAGTGAACGGCAAGTCGCAGATTCTGGCATTCCTGCCGTCCGATAATGGAAACACGCCGGCCACGTCGGTGCTGAACGCCCAACTAGAGAGCGGCGATGACAATGTCATCACCTTCAGCGCCTATGAGGAGGAATACGGTATGTCTTGTGGCGTGGAAGATGGACATAGATGTCGCTAACTTTTGCTTCTGAGTAGGTCCTGATATCGATCGGTTGCTTGTGCCCGACGAGTAAGTTGATTCCGGGCAGCTTGAGTGATGAGAATGGATTGGGCCGGGAAAGGAGTTTCATATGTAGGACAGCAGACCAGCATAACGATTTTTGAAGTACATAGAACTTGCTGCTCGGTGAATCTCATAATTCAGGTCTTTTAAATTACGTTCATCCCGTGGTGTAGGCGTGACGTGAATGTGTCCTTATCTTCCTCGGTCATTCTAGAGCTCTCGGGGCGCCCCGAGCGTCCGAGCGTGGCGGTCCAGCCCCGAATCACTCCTCAACTCTTGAAACATTAGACCACCCAGATCTTCACTGATCATGGCAGGCTAGCATGGACCTCTGGTAGTGTGTCTCAATTTATATTTATCTGCTGCACATCCTGAGACGCGACCTCTTCGGGTGGAGTGTTCCGCCGAACGACGCCAGCGATGGGACAGTATCTACTCGGCGGCTTCTAATGCCCTCGGGGCTGTTATCCTCGGCGCCTCCTCGTGTCCAGGATTCCCCAGATCTTCCCCCGCATTCTCCAGATTATGCTTAGTCTGCTCGGGGAGTGGACATAGAGCGCGAGTTTAAAAAGCCCTCCAGAGCACTCTGCGATGCAGCCGCTTGTTATTCAAAGCAGGAGTGTCTAGCAGCATGGCCGACAAGAATATCGCCGTTGACTGCATCGAGCATGCCGACCAGGTGCTGGTGGACGAGACCGGTCGCATTAAGCGTCTCCCGGTACCAAGTGACGATCCCAATGACCCCTTGAACTTTGCGCTGTGGGAGAAGACGGGGATCGTAGTGTGCTGCTGTTGGTTCTGTGGGTCTTTCTTTCATCAATGTTGAACGTCAAGCTCATTCCCCCAGCTATCATGTCACTCTCCGTCATTGGAGGCCTGGGCTCAGTCCTGGATGTGTTCATTCAGATGTATGGCGCAGAAGGTCACAGCACCAACCAGGTGGTCTGGCTCTCCACTTTTCCTTCACTGTTTGTAGGGATTGGTAAGGTATCTTTCCTAGTTCTGTTACCATCAGGAACTTACCGACGTTAGGGAACTACATAATCCTGCCGTTGGCCCTTGTTTGTGGGCGTCGACCAGTGATGCTCATTGCCAACACCGTTCTGCTGGGCTCGTTGATTGGATGTGCCTTGTCGCAGAACTGGGCCCAACATATCGGGTTGCGTATCTTATTAGGATTCGCGACGGGAGCAACAGAATCGGTGCGGCAGCCGTACTTCTAACTTTGATGCTGCTCTAACCTTCAATAGCTTCTCCCCCTGATGTTGGCAGAGGTGACCTTTATCCACCAGCGCGGCACGATTTACGGCATCTACTGGGCCACTCAAAACATCGTGACGAGTCTCCTGACGCTAGCCAGTTCGTACGAAGTGGCAGCGCTGGGCTGGCGCTGGTTTTACTGGGTTTTTGTTATAACCGTTGCCGTTGGACTCGTCCTGGTGGTATTTGTCTGCTTCGAGACGCGGTTCCAGCGTCGACCGATTTTCCTGGGCAACCACGCCGTCGTCACCGACCAATATGGGGTGACCCGAGTTCTTACTGCCCCAGAAACCCAAGAATACCTGGCTAGTGAAGAGGGTCGCTTCTACGCCGACCTCGGTGGCGACACTCCTCCCAAGAAAACCTACCGCCAGATGCTTAACGCTTGGCCACGCCTCTGCCCTCATCCCGTACGCAATGTTCTGCTCACCTGGTGGCAGATGCTGGAGACCTTCAGCTCGCCCGGCATCATCTATGCCACACTTCTCTCCGCTGTTATCCTAGGCGGGTCCGTCGGTGTCTCTCTCACCTATGACACCGTCTTGCAGTATAACTACGGCTGGAGCGCCGCCAGCATTGGCCTTATCAACTTGGGCGGCGTCTTTGGCGGGCTGGGCGGCATGCTCTACGCGGGGATCCTGGGCGACCGTGTCATTATCTGGTTGGCCCGGCGCGCCGGAGGTGTTCATAAACCCGAACACCATCTCCTCTTATTGATCTTCCCCGGGCTCTTGGCAGTAGCCTCGTTGATCTTGTATGGGTTCACCGCTAGTGGCAATGCCACTTGGGGCGGGCCGTTCATGGGCTGGACACTCTACCAAGTAGCCTTCGTCTCGACACTCATCCGCACGACATCGTTTGCCACCGAGGCATGGGAGAAAAATCCCGGTCCGGCGTTGGTGACGGTCGTGGGGACGAAGAATATCATCGGATTTGGGGTCAGCTATGGCTTGAACCCGATGGTGGCCAAGTATAGTTATCCGGCAGCCATGGGGATTCTGGCGGGGGTGGTGGGTGGCATTCTGCTCTTGGGGATTCCAGTCTACTTCTTTAATCCGATGGTTAGTACTGGCCTCTTCCCATTGCTCAATCGAAAGTGTAGTTTTGCTCACTCGGATTTAGTGGAGACGGTATATCAGCCAGCAACGGACTCGAGGCCAGGGGCAGCTTGGAGGGCCGTAGTGAGGGGGATGAATGGTTTTGTACACAGGTTACAATTCAACGGATATGTTTTGTTCGCTAGTACTGTTCTTCTCGTTCGTATTTGCCAAATCTACAATGCCCTGGCGATACAAATCTTGATGTTCCCTCATGAAAATGTGATCTCGCATCTGACTACAACCTCCATGGCCAGACAAACAGGATGCTACGCATACAGACCTCCTCTAATGGCGTCTCACATGGCCGACTTGTGGGTTACAGCGTTGGCAGTCGGGAAGTGGGGGATCTACAACAGCTCCTTCGGGGCATGACCGTGCATCTCGGAGGCACCATCGGCTGTTCGGTGCTGCCCGAGACCCCCGATTTGCTATCATCCGAGCACAGACACAATGCAATCTGCCTGGACTTGCAGACAAGAAAACTATCCTTTCAGATTTGTACACTTAAGAGCTCCTGCATATGTCCATAACCTTCCCAGGTTACAATTCAATCCATCGACCCATCCATTCATGCACAATCGCCTTGGCCTCATCCACCAATCCCAGATCTAGCAAGAGTTGGGTAGTCCCGCGCACGGCGGAGTCTAGAGCCGCGGCAATCCAGCCATGGGTATACGAGGTATGCTCACCAACAAATATGGTCTGGAACTCGGTCTGGTAGTAGGCAGGCAGGAAAATCTCTTGCTGCCCAACGAGGGGGTGTGTCCATCCGCCGATCTGATGTTCATCGGTTTCCCAGCAATGAAAATGGGAAACTCCTATGGAGACAATCAGCTTCAAGTTGACTAAAGTTGTAAAATGGTTCATCTTACCTGTGAATTGTTCCTCTGCAACCTCTCCATGAATTTCCACCATGCTACGCCGTGCCAGCGCCACATAGTCCTCGGCTTTCAACGCCTGTACACTCCGCGCCGGGCTTCCAACAGCATATGCCGCAAGAACCGCCGCGGGACCGGTGCCATTCATATTGAATGATGGATAGCATACATATTGCACCCCCGGAATGTCCACCTCGCCGCAGCCCCCAAAGATGGGCTGTTCTTGGTGCTCCCAGAAGCGGGTTTCATACAGCAGAGCGAGCTTGCAGGCGGGTTGATAGTTTGTCTCGGAGATGGCCCGGCTCAGAATCGACGAGTATCGCGGCAAATCCCACATGCGCACCTTGGTAAAGGGCGCAGTCACGACGGCATAGTCATATTCCTCGCTGCGCTCAGGGGTGACCTGGACCGGAGAGTCGCGCCAGGTGTAGGCAATCTTGCCCGAGCTCTCGTTGTACGAGAGCCCGGCCACCGCCCGCCCGAGGGTGGCTTTGTCTGTGACGTGCGGTAGAAATGCTCGCGCCAGAGATTCCACGCCCTGGTCTATGGTACGCCATTCGGTAGCCGCAAAGTAGACATCATCGTAAAATCCATCCCAGATGGGATTGTTGGATGTGCCAGCGGCGAGGTCGATGGCATCCGCATTCTCCCCCAGCGTGTACCGCATATATGCGGCCTCCGACCAGTGGTAGAACCCATCCTCCAACGCCGCTTTGTGTGCGCGGTACATGTTGCGAGCAACCTCCCGGATCTTGCTGATCGTGTCTGTCTGAGCGTACGCCATGTACTGAGCTTTGGCATCCGCAACAGCACTGGCGTTGGCGGGGAGCGGCGTGTATGCCAGCGACGAGTTGGCGGCAACCTGGGCTACAGTAGGGATTCGACCATCTGGCAGACGAACACCGCCCGTGTCTGCCGGGAGATTGGGATTATTCTGGATCCAGGGAATGAAGTTGACTCGCAGCTCTGGATTAGCATCGGCATTGAGCTCATTGAGGACATCGGCCAACTGCAGGACCAGCCGCATGTCCTGAATTTGGAGCGTCTCGTTAGTGTCGGCGTAGGTGATGTTCATGGGAAAGCGCATAGGCCCCAACTCCTGGTATTGGTACTGATCGGGCCGCGAATTGTTCATATAATGGGTGCGAATGCGGCCACCCAACCGATGGGACGACTCCACAATATGCCAATTGGTCATGCTGACAGAGTTGAGCAGCAGACTCGTCATCAGTCCGGAGATGCCACCGCCGAGGATGGCCACGGAGGAGTTCTTGGCTGCCGACACCACGGCCTTGCCGGGCTCCTTGCTTTGCATGTACGCAACGCCGTCAAACCAAGGGCCCATCACATCAGACACATTGGCAATGCTTTCCCGACGAGCCAAGCGGGTGGCAATCGGAATGGGGTCAGAACGAGCAAGCAGGGTTGATCCAGAAACGGCGTGGAGACAGTGGAGATGGGGCGCATCGGCCGGGGTGATCCAGACGAAGCGCTCCGGATGAGCGTCACGCTCGATGACAATGTGGCCGATCTCATGATGCCCAAGGCCGGTGTGACAGTCGCCGTAGAGCACTTGGATATGCCCTTCAAAGCTGCTGTCCACAAAGTCCAAATGAACGTTGTGCAGGGAGTTCGCGGTGATTAGGCTCGGTACCTGAAATTTCAGGACTTCTCGGTCAATCTGTCTTGGAGCATGGTGAGAGAGTGCCCCCGCTAGGCCGCTGTAGAGCAAACCTAAAACAAGGGGTGTGTACCACTGACGAGACATGGCGCGCCTGGGGGTTGAGATGAGCACACACTGCCCCGAGGTCTGTAGCGATCATGCGGATTCTGCCCATGGATTTATACTGGCGAAGTATCATTGCCCATTGTTCCTAGTCAGTACGCAGCTCAGACTCTTCCTTATCCTGCATCGTGCCAACAGTCGAAGATGTCAATAATTGAGGGCATGCATAAGTAGATGTGTACCAGGTGTCGTTCATTGCCAGGTGTTTTTCATACGCCGCCGTTCGAAAGGATATCTACTATTTCCAAGGCCTAATCGGGAAGCGCAGCGTCGATCTGTTCTCAATAATTGCTGCTCGGGAAGTTGCGCCAAAAGCGAATCATCGACAGCCACATTGTGTCTATTGCAGATGGAAGGATGAGTCTAATTTGAGCTGGAACGAATTGCCTTTGACGACACTTCCCAAACAGTGTTTATTCTTATTGAACGAGATTCATTGCATGGGTCAGAAATTACCTATGTAGAAACTAAATGGGTGTAGCCAAGTAACGGACTTCTGTACCCAAAACAGGATACAGTCAAATCAATTACCATTTTAATTATTGGTAGAGCCCTCTATATAAGACGCTAACTGAGCAGGTGCTTCACCGTCTGAAAGAAAACATGGCCTCAACGCCTCTAAATTCTGCAATCCCGCAAAACTCACATACTTTCCCAACACAAGCTACGAAGTTTCTAAAGTCATCGCTGCATATACCTTGTCAAGCACATACGGTACTCAAGTTCGGCAAGAGACCGAGTCAGCAAGGTAGACATATCATATTGACGTATCAATTGACCAGTCTACGGAGCCACGATTGCCCGAACCACATCCCGCAAGTCCCCTTCTATGCTGGTGGCTAGCTGCGCAGCAGCCAACTCTCCAGGAACATGCACAGCGTCACCCAAGCCCGCGCGCACCAGTCGTACATGTCCATCGCCTTGCTCGACCAGCTCCTCATTATCCCACCGCAGCACCCCTGGTGTGGAGAGGCCGACCCCTAGCTCAAGAATGACTACGTTTCGTGTCGGGTCCGTGAGGAAGGTCTTGCGGAACTCATGCCATCGCGTTTCGCCGGGAGCGAAGGGCCGTTCGTTGAACCAGTTTCCCGCCCGAACACATATCGACATAGGGCCACCACAGAAGGGGCATGTCGGAATCTTGTCCTGCGCCGTTACGGTCTGGCTGTGTGGATCCAGATGCGGCAGCACAGCGTCAAGGTACGGGGCAGATGGAAAGACGGCATCCGGACGACAGTTTTCCAGACATTGCAAGAAGGCATATTGGCCCTGGGGGGTGGAGAGTTGCGCTTCAGGCAGTCCATGGGCTACAAATAGTCCGTCTGCATTGGAGGTGCGTACGTGAACCCGATCGGATGAGAAACGCGATGCCAGCCATTCTAACAGGGAGGTATAGAGGGACGAGCGAGGCCAGCGACGCACCATGGCTAGATGGGAGAAGTAGAATCCCCACCGGACGCTCTCGGATGGCCAATCGCGGTTAGTACGGTTAAAGGTGTCATAGAGCCGTCGCAGCTGGTATTGCTTAAATGACGGAAAGTGGCGATCGAACAGAGTGGTCGAGGTATAGTCGAGTCCAGTGGCCGCCGAGAAGCCGGCTCCACAGCTGACCACAATGGTATCGGCAGTAGCCAACCAAGCCAAGGCTTGGTTGAGCGAAGATCCATGAATCTGGAGAGGTGGCGCGAGGGAGAGAGCTGGATAGTACATTTCCTTGAGTGTCTGTTGGTAGACGGCCGTGTCGGTATCGGTGAAAGTGTTGAAGATGATGTTGGTGATGGAGGTGTGCTGACGACGCCGCAGCCAGTCGAGTACCGATCTAACGGCAATACATGCAGCCTCCTCCACGGGGAAAGCAAACAATCCGGTCGCGATGCCACAGAGAGCGATGGTCTTACCCTGAGGGTCCGATGCGGGCAGGGATTCTGCGACGTCCAGGACGGCCTCGTAGCATTGCTGCAGCTGTTGTCGTTGGTGCGTGGTAGGCACAGGGTGTTCCGCATCCAGTTGAGGGCCCACGGTGTGAATCACATAGGGGGTGGGCAGGCAGTAGCCTTTGGTGGCACGAGCCTGGCCGACAGGCAAAATATGCTGACCTTGAGCCATCTGTTGGAAACATTCTTCGCGCAAGCGGGGACCTGCCCGGGCGTGGATGACATTGTCCAGGCATCGATGGGCCGGCTGGAAACATCCCAGCATTTGCTCATTGGCCGGATTGGTGATGGCGGTGACTCCATCCAAGGTGGTAATATCTCCTTGCCACAGATGGAGCGTGGCAGGAAGAGGCTCTGATGATGTTGATGTTGGTGCCGATGGAGTTAGAATGGCCGGAATGGAAGCAACGTCAATAAGAAGGCGATTGGCACGCTCTTCCAGCAGAACCTGATCGATCCCCTGGAGTAAGGAGGGTGAAAGAGGTTTTCGAGGATGTCTAACACAGAGCAGCTGCTTCATAAGACGGAACTGGGCCCATGAGTCCATGGATTCAATGGAGGCGATGTCATGCTGGTGGTGGTGATGGTGACAGACCGAAGATCTCTGGGGGGCGAAATAGTGGGAATCAGCCAGCAAGGTCTGCAGAACTGATGGCAGTGTGCCAGCCATGGCTTTGAGCAAAGTATGATAGTTTAAGTACAATATACATCTTGAGAGAATTCGATTGAAATTTCAGGAGGATATCGGGTATCCTTTTGTAGGTCTCTTTCCCTACATATTTCCATATTATTTGGTTTGGAGTGGGTTTATCTAGTTTGCTGTGTTTGCTATGTTTGGCAACCTGTGTTTGTCGCATTTGGACTGTTTGTTTAGACGGGACATATTTCCGTAACGGGAAGGTAATCTACACTAGCCTATTGGGGAATTCCGCAGTGATGAACCCCAAAAAGCTTCATGGTTAATAATCAGCAATAACGAAGCGAAGATACGTGCATACATACAAGCCCTTTCTCCTCACCGCAGCATTTACACCTCATCGACATTCATCTCTTAATCCTTCATAACCTGACGGGATAACCGGCGACAGCATCTATTATCCCCGGATACGATAACTCCGGTATCCGATCTTATCTCCGCCATTCATGTCGAGACGACAGGATGACATTTAGCAAGGATCGTGATGACCCTCCCTCAATGAGACATTCAGGTAGTAGCCATTCCTCTACTCAGGAAGCAATTCTCGTGTCAGCTGGGTCGTGCGACCATAATGCAAGGTTTTCTGTGCCTCCTTTTGAATCCCGAAATCCATCGTGATTCCGTTGATGTTTCAGGCTCACATCGAAGAATATATATAGTATAATCTCCATCGAACAACTTCCTTCAGCCCTCATCGCCCCACTTGAGACGAGCCAGGCCATAGATAGACTGTATTCAGGCCGCCAGCACAATGGAGCTTGGGGCCGAGATTTTCGTCTGTCCGAAACTTAATCCCGCATGCGGAATTACGACTGGTTACTAGTCACTAGTTAGCTTGCGGGGCCATGGCTGTCAGCAGTAGCATCGCCCCTGTCAAGCTCTCTCAAAGAAAGTCAAAAACCCTCATCCCATGACGGCATCCAAGAGCATCTGGAATGTCAGAGCTCATTCGTCATGGAGCCACGGGTGAGGATCGTCGGGGATACGAACTCGCTCTGAGAATCTCTCATAGGAGGGATCGGTTATACCACTGCATTAGTGTTGAGACCGAGCCATTACAACCCCTCATTGCTGCAGTTGGCCTGATATCCATTGATTTCCTTATATTAAGCCCATCACCCATGTCTCTTTTGACCCTGACTATCAGTTCTCACAACCCTCTAATCTCACTCTACTCGATCCAGTCATTCTCATCATGTCTCAATCTATCCCCCAACATCCCGGACAGCGGGAGAACATCGAGACTCGCCTCTTCATTAACGGCGAGTTTGTCCCCTCTCTCTCCGGGTCCAAGTTCGACCTGTACAACCCGGCCACCGAGGAGCTCAGTGCCTCGGTCTATGAAGCCGGTCCCGATGATGTCGACCGCGCCGTTGCGGCCGCCAAAGCTGCCTTCCCAGCCTGGTCGGAAACGGGAGCCCTGCAGCGAGCCCACTTGCTGGAGAAATGGGCCGACCGTCTGGAGGCTTGCGCTGATGAGATCGCCTATCTTGATGCCATTTGCATGGGCAAGCCCGCTTACAGTGACCGTAAGCTCATTTACTCGTCATCCCTATTGTACAGACATGCCTAACTCATCACCAAATTCCAGACTTCGGTCGTTTTATGACCATGTTCGTGCGGGTATATGCCGCCAAGGCCCTAGATATCACCGGCGAATCCTCCCTGAACACCCCTGGCTTCGTTAATGTCAGCTTGCGCCAACCCTTTGGCGTGTGCGGTGCTATTGTCCCCTGGAATGGCCCCGTGGTGACCATGATCTTCAAGGCTGCCGCAGCCCTGGTCACCGGCAACACCATCGTCATCAAGTCTTCCGAAAAGGCCCCTCTGAGTTGCCTGGTGGCTGCTCGTTGTGCCCAGGAAGCCGGCTTTCCCCCAGGTGTCTTCAATATGCTCAGTGGATTTGGTCGCCCCTGTGGTGAGGCCATCGCCCGTCACATGGAGATCCGCAAGATCTCCTTCACCGGCTCGACTGCCACCGGTCGTGCCATCCAGAAGATGGCCGCCGAATCGAACCTCAAGAGTGTCACCCTCGAGCTGGGCGGCAAGTCCCCGCTGGTGATCTGGGACGATGCCGATCTGAGCAAGGCCGTGCCGGCTGCCGCCATGTCCATCCTCACCAACTCCGGCCAGGTCTGCGTTGCCAGCTCGCGGGTCTATGTACATGAGGCAATTGCCCCTCAGTTCCTTGAGCAGCTCAAGACCACCATGACGGAGATGGGCAAGAGTGGTCATCCGCTCATTCCGGGCACCACGCGCGGCCCGCAGGCTGATGCTGCCCAATTTGCGCGCGTACAGGGCTATCTGGATCTGGCGAAGCAGGAGGGTGTCTCGGTGTACTTAGGTGGTGCGCGCGAGGGCGACAAAGGTTACTTTGTGCAGCCGACCATCCTGAAGGATGTGCCGGAGGAGTCGCGCCTGATGAAGGAGGAGATCTTTGGTCCCGTGGTGGCCGTCAACACCTTCACCGACGAGGAAGACGTCATGGCGCGCGCCAACGACTCCGAGTACGGGCTGTACGCTAGTGTCTACACACGGGATATCTCGCGAGCGTTGCGAGCGGCCAAGAAGTTCGAGGCGGGCACTGTGGGGGTGAACTGCACCAGTCCGACCATGGCGTTTGACATGCCATTTGGGGGCTGGAAGGGCAGTGGAGAGGGACGAGAGCTGAGTCGGTATGCCACAGACTACTGGACCGAGCTGAAGTCGGTTTTGATTGCGTTGTGATTCGTCATGTTTATGTTGTAACTATATTACTGTTTACTGGAGATAGGATGCTCTCTAGTCGTTTATAAAACAGTCATCAGAATGCTTAAATATAATCGTCATTAATCATATCATCTCATAGCCGTACATCAAGGAAAGTCTCATAAATCATCATCACAGAAAACGCCAAAGGAAAGTAGACATGTAGACATTAGAGAAACAAGGAGTGTCATCGTCGTCATCGTCATCATCATCATATCAACCACCACGCATCATCTCCATCAAAGGTATCAATTTTTTTACAGGTGATCCGGTGCCGGCACCTCAGCCAGCGACTTCACCACCGCGCGCAACGACGGGTTCAGCTCCTCCGCCGCCGTCTCCAGCTCGCTCAGCGTGTTCATGGCCTCACGGCCCAGCTGGCGGATCAGGTCGTAGGTGGCCTGCAGGGCCCCCGTCTGCTGCACCAGCGACACGATTTGCCGCTTGCTCTCAATGGGCAGCACCGTGCCGGCCGGCTTCTGACGGAAGATGCCAAAGATGACCGCCCGACCAGCAGGGTCCAAGTTGCAGGCCCGGACGATGGGGTACGTCACCTTAGCCTGGTCCAGGTCCTCGCCAAACGACCGGTCGCTAGCGGCGGACTCCAGCAGACCCAGATACTCGTGGCGGATCTGGGACAGGCGACCCAGCACCTTGGTGAAGGGCTCCAGATCCAGGGTAGCGCCGCCCATGCTAGCAGCCTGCATGAGGCGCGTCAGCAGACGGAAGCTGGCGCCGGCCTTCTGGTCCACCATGGCCAGATACTCGGTCTCGCCGGGGCAGTGGGTCGAAAAGCGCCAGTTCAGCTCCCACGACTGGCCGACAAAGTGCGCCTCCAGTTCCTGCAGCAGTCCATCCAGCATGCCGGGGCAGTTGAGGCTGGTCACGATGCGGGCGGCGCGCACAAACAAGTACGCTGCACTGTTCATGCACTGCGCGGGCCCGTACACCAGGTGGGCCGGGGTGCGCTGGTCGCGCAGGGCAGCCTGGTCCTGCACGTCGGCCAGCATACCGGTCGAATCCTGCAGCTCGGTAATAACCTGGCGAATGAAGGCCAACGGGCGGGCGGGAACCTGCAGCCAGGCATTCAGGGAAGTGAGCAGGTCGCTGTGCAGGGTGCTGCGGGAAATAGAGCGGGCGTAGCTGGATGGGGCCAGCAGGGCGGAGGTATCCAGATGCACGTCGGGGGTTTCCTCCTCGGTGACCAGGGGGGTCCAGACAGCCACCTCCACGGGTTCTTCACTCTCTTCGGGTTCCGGTACCACCTCAACGGGGGCAGCCTTTTCTTCCTCCTCTTCTTCTTCCTCGTCGTCTTCGGTGTCTTCGTCAGAGGAAGATTCTTCCTCATCGGAGCCATCTTCCTCGGATGACGACTCCTCCTCTTCACTCTCCTCGGCAGTTTCGGGGACTGCGTAGCGCGGAGCATTCTTGCACCAGTAGTGAATACCAGCCAGGGAGGCTCCCAGAACCTCCATCCATTTGCGGAGCTGAGGTGCCAGGTCCGAGTTGGCCTGGTAGAGCGCCTCGCGACGGCGGACAAACTCGTGCTCGTTGTCGATGATCAGCTGCTTCGCCTTGGCGACGGCGTCTTCCTCGGACATGTTCTGGTGTTCCATGAGGAAGAGAATCACATTGGCAACGGGGCGCTTCTTGGAGACACGCTTCTCCTTGGGCCAGCTGTAGTAGTCGTTGGTGAAGAACATGGCGCGCTCGGCGGCATCCAATGCGTCGCGCACCACCGCCTGGTCTTCTTTCCCGAGACGGGTGCCATGCGCGAAGCCCATGAGGGTCCAGTAGACGCTGACATTCACGTTAGCATCTCATAATTCATGCACTATTGAATAGGTGACTTACTCAATGCCCGCATTGAGGCGTCTCCGGGCGACATAGTCGTCGAGGTTGGCGCAGTTCTCGGCTGTGGGGACCTCCGGGGTGACCAGCCAGTTACTGCGGTAGCAGTCGATGATCTCGTGGCCATCCTTGTCCTTGTCCGACAGCTCCGACATGGCCTTTTCTAGTAGTTGTTTCCGAGCGGCGACACGGGGGGATTCGGCGGACTCATCGGTTTTCTTGCCTTGTTGTTTGCCTAAGACGTCAGTGGTGGATTCGACCATGCTAATAGTAGGCAATGGGGGGGTTCACATACCATCATGCAGATTGCCGAGTTCAGTCAAGTACGCGACAGTCTCGAGACGTTCGGGCAGACACTCCGGGTAGAGGAAGCTGGCATAGTTGCCGACGGGGGAGGAGAGGTAGCTGGTCTGGGGCTCATCCAGGTTCAGAGCGGCCGTCAAGTCCTGAACGAAGCGATCGCTGCCGCGCTGGGCGACATGGTCGTACTTGTGAATGCGCGGGGTCAGGGTGGTGAAGCAGTCCTTGCGATGCTCATCATCCTCGGGCAGCAACTGCGAGTGCGTCCATATTTCGACAGGGTCGCTTACCGTCGCAGCCTCGGATGCAGGCTCAGACTGAGCTGCGGATAGGACTTGGTTGATGGTGCTTCCCCTGCTGCGACGCCTCTTGTGGGACAAGATGTGAGAGTACTGCTTGAACATTGGGATGATTCACAACAGAACTATAAAAAGGAAGAAGGTAGAAGTAGTGATACAGGACCAGCAATGCGGTCTCGATAGAATATTCACAACGCGATCGACGCGGGATAAGTTGAAAAGGAAGAGAGGGAAAAGAGGAAGAGGGAGACGAGGAGGAGCCAGATGGAGTCTTTAATAGCATTTGAGATCGCTGGCTCATGCGCAAGAGATTGACCACCCCTCCAGATTGGCGTCGGCGTCATGGCCTGACCAACAAGAAAATTTTTCACATCGTTATCGAAAGGGAAAACAGCATGGACCTCCAACTGGTCCCCGAAAAGCAATGAATCGCAACGAAAAAGCAAACGAAGAGGGAGGGAGTTGAGAAGCTGCCGAGTGGACGGGATGCAAGCTACGCGGCCGAAGGGGCGCTGATTGGTGAGGAGAGGGCAGCTGTCTTGCGGCTACAGCAGTTCGTGGGTCCATTAGCTGGGATTAGCTGAATTAGCTTGCTGGGATGGAGGATTCTGCGTCTTCTTAGTGCCGTTAGGGTTTTTAGCTTGACCTCCACGGCTTGCCCGATGTGGAGCTCCATCGCTGTGCCCTTCACCGCTTCATCCTCGACGCGCTGCTGGCCGTCTTTCTTATTGGGCCAACGCATGTCCACCAGCAGATATGACGATGTTTTGTCTCCGAAGGTGCGAAAGAAAAAAAATCATCTATCCGCCGCGGGGGCAAATATCATTGTTTTTTGAATTTTTCCTATGTTTACTGTACTTGTCGGGCAAAAGTAGGTTCGTAGAGGGGCCAAAATGCCATGGAACTATCGCCTGTCCCGGTGGCTGGCGAGCAGGTCAAATATCGCAGAAGGCTACAAGACACTATCAACTAGACAGACTAGTTGGTTTTCAAATGATTAGGCAGTCAACAAGTCTGCAGTATCTAATCAAGAAAGGGATGATAATCGGAGGGAGGAGGGGTTGATATGGCAGGCAGCACTAGAAAGTATACGAAGTAGTACAACAGTACTTTGAAAGAGGAGATAGACTCCGCAGGATCGACAACTTTCTGATAGTTGCTACATTTACACTTCCACTGCCATCCAGCCATCCCTCCATCACTCACTTTGCTTAGGGTATATTTTGGTTTCGCGATGCAATCAGAATTCCGACTTACGCAACGGCCCCACCTGCCCGAGAGGGAGAAAGCATAACAATTGATTGGAATCGATGCCATCGCGATCGCGGTAAAGACTTGAAGGGCACTGACACACTGACACTGACACTGTCCAAGTGGACGGTTCTGGTTGCCCTCGTTACCGTCGCTTGGACTTGGAGAGGGTTCAAGTCATACCATGAGTGCAGATGGTGCGATCGCTCTTTAGCCTCCCATCCCTAGGTCATTCATGATTATCTCGGCTGCTGCATTACTGAGTATTTGTGGCTGGGTATCAATTCAAAAGTCTATTAGCAGGTTTGAGTTTAGTTCCCCCTCCAAGATAATGAAAAATCATTGTAGGAGAAGTAGAGTTTCTGCCAGCGATCCCAGCGACAATCTCTGCAGCCTGCAAACGCTCGGACCAAGAGGGTCCTCATTGTCCCGAGATAGCATCACTTTTTCCACAGTGGGTAATTCCAGTGAGTTCTGGGAGACACACAGGAAGAGGAAAAAAAGAGGGACCCTCCAAGGTAATCAATCAACCTGACATTCTCGCAGTGGAACCGGGCGTTGTTAATTCTCCGTCGGGTCTCCCATTGGAGCATGGACTGCGGATCATCGCCCTTCTCTTGTGAAATTTTGCTCTTTCTCCCTCTGTGAGGGTGGATTCCACTGACTGTGCTTTGGTTCTTGCATTGCATTGCTTTGCTTTGCCTTGCCTTGCCTTGCCTTGCCTTGCCTTACTCGTTTTCCGTGGTCTCCTCTGGTTTGCCCCTCCCACCAAGGTTAACGATACGCTTCCAGGGTAGCTCGTCATTGCCCTCGGCTGACCCCCGATCACCACCAAATCCCGGCAGGATGATTCGTTCTCAGCAATCATTCCAAGCTAAGGAGATGGTCGTTGCACTACGTACTTAGAACCGTAGTTAGTCATGTCAAGCTCGACCGGCCAATCTGAAGCTGCCAACGAACTAGCAAGAGAAGTGCGAGATGGATAGCGTCCTCCTCCGGTATCAACAGTCAGAGAAGGGACCCCGTTGGCTGGAAAGTGGCAGACGAGAGAAAAGAGTTAGGTGCAGGGTAGCCGTTCCACTGGAATAGAGTCACTTGATCAACTGTGGATAGCCGTTGAACCAGACAGCCATTTAAGAGACACAAAGTAGCGAGATACGCAGGTCTAAACGTCTTAAAGGATGAGCCGTGGAGTGGGGGAGCTGCAACGGTGGGTTGCGATCGGCAGGCCCGAGAGCTGCAGGGCGGCAGTCTTGAGGCCTTCCGATGATTGGACGTCCATTGACAGTAGACAAGGTAGAGAAGATAGATACGAGATAGTGAAAATAAAATAGATGGTAAAAGGGACATGGATGGCTGGGGATGAAGGGGCAAAAATAATGGGGAGAAAAAAGGAATGCATCATCCGTGAATCGAACACGGGCCTCATCGATGGCAACGATGAATTCTACCACTAGACCAATGATGCTAGTACATGTTATTTGTCTCCATATTATGGTTTGAGTAAGTGACCTTTTAGGCAATTTGCTTCTTACACCCTCACAACACGTGGTCTAGAATGTAATGTCTCCAAACAAATCATTTCACTGGATTGAGGGCCTACTACATCTGTTTGAATAATTCGAATACCCTGCAAGGTATTACTTTGAATCTTCATACACTCTCTGTCCCGCCGAAACTCTGAAGCGAACAGTTAATGACTATTGGCTGGGTCAACCCCCAGTAGCGAATATATATATGCCGCCCAGTGACAATAGGTAGTGTCATCTTCGATCGCAACAGCCTGGAAACAGCAACTAGTGAATTTAGACGAATTTGAAAAAGTAAGTAAAATGAACCAAAAAACACATCAATACAACAATGCAACAAGAGCTGTGCGGTACAGCAATATAGGAAAGGATCTAACAATGATGCATAATTTCACCACTGGGGACAGATTCATATGGAAAGATAGACAGTTCTACAATGACCAAATATGACTCTAAGCACACCATATGGTGTCCTTCTACCAATTTATGAGTATCGGCTGTGGAAATATTTTGAACTGTACTTTACGGGTTATATTTATATCGCAAAAGGCTAGTATGTTAGATGGCAAGCAACTGCTAGAACTCCCAGAAGACAAAAAATATCGACGAATCGTCAAGACAATCTATCATATACACATAAAGACCCAGACAAAACTAATAACTTTCCGTTACTTCGCCTATCTTGCCAGCACCTCCTTCAAGATTGGACTCTGTGTCAGCCCATACACCCCCTCGACATACTCCCGACTTAGCGAGAACGGCGTCCCCATCACATTGGGAATCCACTTGCCCACCAGCTTCTGCGGATCCACTTCAGTCTTGGGAATGCGTTCCTCCAAGAAGTTGCGATACGAGGCCACTCCCGGTCGCAGATGGGCCGAGTGGAAGGGCACATCAATGCCCTGCAGGGGAATTGTAGCAAGGCTGCGCTTCAACGTCACTGGTGCTGGGAGTTGGCGGGCTTCCGCAATGCATTGCTCTACCAGCTTCGTCGATGCAAGGTCTGCATTACCGACCGTGGTAGCATCGGTGAATTCGCGGGCAAGGGCAGCCCCAGTAGGTGATCGCGCAATAGTGTCAGTGATGGCGGCCAGGGCATGAAGGTTCTCGAGCTGATATCATAAGCGAATGTACCTACATCGTTTGAGAGAAATTGAGACTCACTGTTCCAGCACATACATACTGCTCTCCATCGACATTGAAATTGACAATCTCGAGTAGGGCGTGCGTTGTCGTAGCAATCTGCGACACAATCTGCCTCAATGCCTTCTCCGTGAAGACTAAAACACTGTCAGCATTCACCCTAGACCCCCCTTCTACACAAAGGAGCAGTAAGGGTATACTCACACTTTCCTACACGAGCCGGGTTCACCGCCGCCATGGAGAAGTTGGTCCGTCCCTGATCATCGCGCTCAATGGCCACCTGCATGGCCAAACCCCGATAGAACACCACCCGCAGGAGATCTGTGAAAGGCATGAACTCGCCAAATGACGCCAATGCACCATATTCGCCCAGGGAGTGTCCTGCAAACGCCGCGTCCCGCTGAACAACTCCCCGCTGGCGGAGGTCCTCGACTGCCGCGCGTTCCAATAGCAAGACTAGAGGCTGCGCGAACTGCGTCGAGAAAACCAATCCGCGCGGATCCGCAAATGTGTAAGAGGTGGACTTCGGCGTGAGTTCCGGAAGAATGGGCTCCTTTACCACACTTCCATCGGCCCTGTAGGAATCGATGGTCATGGCCATATAGTTTGCCTTGATCTGGCGTCCGCGTTTGCCCCGGAAGTGCACCGTCAAAGCTGTTGGATTCTGGCGGACGAGCTCAAGGACCGACCATCCTGTAATGAGTGATTAGCTTGCTAAATGGAATACCAGAAACACCAAGATTCACATACCGTAAGTCTCGACGAAGAACTTGTCTGCTGCGTCCCAGACGGCCCGAGCAGCAGCACTGGACTTGTACAGACCCATCCCCATACCTGGTGACTGGCTGCCCTGTCCGGTAAAGACATACACCGTCGAGGGCTGATCCACCTCAGCCTCTGCCTGGATGACTGCTTCATCCGTACCAGCCTTGACGGCTGTCACATTCAGCAGTAGCCGGCCCTCAATCATAGCGACGTGCTGCACGCGCACCTCAAGCTGATCACTGGGCAGCACCATACCGACAAACGAGCAGGCCCAGCGTCGGAAGCGTGTCAGATCACCCTGCGCCGCACAGCGCTCAGCGACTGCGCGTACCACAGCCGATGTGTACATGCCGTGGGTGATGGTGCCAGGCAACTCGACGTACTGCGCAAACTCAGACGAGATGTGGATGGGATTGAAATCCTTGGAGAAGGTGCTATAGCCCGTGTTGGATGCGGGGATATGCACGCTTTCCGAGGTGTGGTTCAGCTCTTGAGTCACATCGAGCTGTTTGCGAGCGACCAATGGCTGACCACGTCGGCGTAGGAAGTCCGACACTGGGTTGGCCTTGCCGTCGCGAGCTTCGAAGGATACCCGACCGATGGCCGTTTGCTTGCCATTCCATGAGCGGAGGGAGACTGTGCCACTAGTTTGAAGTGT